TGCTGATCCTCAAAAGATCTTGAAGTATTTCAGCAAGTTTGGCATGTTAAAAAAAGACGTGTGCATCTGTACAGTTGGCCCTTTGAAATGTTTTGACTGTCCTCACTCTTAGAAGTAACTCGTGAAGTTCTTTGAACTTATGTAGAACTAGATTTCTGGATGCATGATCATTCTAACAGGTATAGCTTAAAGTACGTTGCTGAACTTAAAGACTCTACTGCAATAGAAAACTTCTTTATGAAGTTTTACGATATTTTCAAGAGACATGCTAAAGTATGAAAGTGCTTGAATCACAAAAACTGGACCAAATTTTCGCCAAAATACGAAGGAGGCAGAATTTGGATTTCAACGTCTAGCTTTCAACCATCTATAATCAAATCATTCCTTTCAGTTATCTTTATATTGTTACATCATTGCAAATAACAATGACTACATTTATGTAGGGTAAAAAACATTTTCTAAAAAAAAAGTCAAATCTAATATTCACCATGAAAATCATTTGGTTTTGCTTTGCATTTCATTTATATTTTTCAGTTAAAGTAGACTAATCAGTTTCAAGTTTTGCTGTCATTCATTTGCATAATACTTAAAATGTTTAGGCTGTAGACAATATGTGAAAATATTTTAAACCAAGGAAGAAAGTTTAAGTTGCAACTTTAATAATGGAAAACACTGTTACTGAAAGTATACCTAGATCTAAAAGAAAAAACAAGCTGTGGAAAAAATGCAGAGATACTGTAAAAAGCAAACTTAAGTTTTAGGTCTAAATCATTTTAAAAGAATTCATCAGAGAAAGTTAATTTGAGAATGTTGTAAAGAATAAGAGCTGTGAGAGTGATCACTCTCTAACATTAAGTATTTTGTTGCTTCTATTTTACTAGTAAAGATTAAGAACAAGCTCATCTTTTTTCTTTCTTTTTTAATAAAAGTTGTGTGGCAGAATGAATGAAAAATTCAAAAACTGCAGATATTTATTTTGCAGAGAAAGCAGCTCAGTTTGATAGATTTGTTAATTAATGTAACATAATTAAAGTAATGCAGCATAGTGGATTTAAAGGAATTAGAGGCGCAGCTTGTGGAAACAGCAAACAGCACTGGGTCTAAGGTAGGGCAGACTGAGGTGCTCTGGGTCAGAATACAAGGGGGTCGAGAGGAAAGGGACCTAACAGTGGGGGTCTACCATAGGCCACCTAACCAGGGGGAAAAGCTGGACTGGGAATTCTCTGGTCAGCTTGCGGAGGCAGTCAAGTCAAGGGACATGGTCATCATGGGTGACATAACTATCCGGACATCTGCTGGGAAGAGCAGTCAGCCAGGTCTGACCGCTCACGTAGGTTCCTAGCCGAATTACAGGACCTCCATCTAACCCAGGAGGTGCACAGTGCCACCAGGGGAAATGCTGTGTTGGACCTGGTCCTGGCCACAGGCGACGACTTGGTGAGGGGACTGTGGGTGTTTGACCACCTGGGTGACAGCAATCATCGCCTACTGGAATTCACCATCCAATGCAGGGTGTCAAAGGCCTACAGCAAGACAGCAGCCCTGGACTTCAGGAGGGAGGATCTCAATGAGGTAAGGAGACTAGTCAGGGAGGCACTGAGGTCCCAGAAGGGAAGGGAGTTGGGAGTCCAAGAGGAGTGGTCGTTCCTTAAGGAGACGATCCTCCAAGCCCAAAGGGTGACAATCTTCACACAGAACAAAGGGGGAAAGAGCGCTCAAAAGCCCCCATGGCTCACCAAAAGCATCTACGAATGTCTCAAAGCCAAAAAGGAGATGTACACCCAATGGAAGGGAGGGGCCATCACCAAGGAAGATTATATCTCCATTGCTTGAGATTGTAGGGGAGCTGTTAGGAAGGCTAAGGCAGAGATGGAACTGGGACTAGCAACCTGGATCAAGGATAACAAGAAGTCCTTTTTTAAATACATAGGGGGTAAAAAGAAGGTACCAAGTAACGTGGGGCCTCTGCAGGACATGCTTGGTAATCTGGTGGTAGCACCAGGCGACAAAGCTAGTCCCGATGATCTCCACCCCAGAGTGCTCAGGGAATTGGCAGAGGTCATTGCAGGACCCCTGGTGCAGCTTTATGAGCACTCATGGTGCTCTGGCGAGGTGCCACAGGACTGGAAAAGGGCCAATGTGGTCCCCATTTTCAAAAAAGGGAGGAAAGATGACCCAGGAAACTATAGGCCTGTTAGTCTTACCTTGGTCCTGGGGAAGCTCTTTGATAAAATTATCCAGGAGCACATCTGCGAGGGACCAGCAGGAGAGATTATGCTTAGAGGCAATCAACATGGGTTCATTCGAGGCAGGTCCTGTGAGACCAACCTGGTGGCCTTCTACGACCAGGTCACAAAAGCCTTGGACGCAGGTGTCATGGTGGACGTAGTTTTTCTGGACTTTAGGAAGACCTTCGACACTGTCTCTCATCCCATCCTCATTAAAAAATTAGGCGACTGTGGTGTCGATGGCTACACAGTCAGATGGGTTGCAAATTGGCTGGAGGGCCACACCCAGAGAGTGGATGTGGACGGGTCATTTTTGACCTGGAGGAATGTGGGCCGTGGGGTTCACCAGGGCTTGGTTCTCAGGCCCCCACTGCTCAATATCTTCATCAGAGACTTGGATGAGGGGGTGAAAAGCACCATATTCAAGTTCACAGATGACACTAAGATGTGGGGAGAAGTGGGCACGCTAGAAGAGAGGGACAGGCTACAACTAGATCTGGACAGGTTACAGAGGTGGGTGGATGAAAATAGGATGGGGGTCACGGCGGGGTC